AGACTAACAAAAACAGTTTACTTACCATTGACCTACTGATCTTCAGGCAAACGAAACGAAAAAACAAAATCCAAGACGAATCAAGAATCTCTTCGTTTTTTGTGAAGTTCGTTTAAATAAGTTTGTGTTCTTTTCAAATGTTCTTTTTTTTTCATCACAATTTCTTGTCTTTTTTGATTTTGAAGTTATACTTCTTTAGGCGCGTTATGAAAAAATGATGAGAGTGAAACTTTAAGATGCGCGCGCATCACTGTAACACAAAATATTAACAGCATGAAGTTACTTAAGTATGAAGTTAGTTAAGCTGTTACTTTTGTGTTTACCGCACATTAAGAAAATCTACCAACAAAATAGAAATAGAATCTCTATTTACTATTTAGTGGGTGCTAACGACTGCATTGTGAAGGCCTATCAAAAGTATTTATTAATCTGGAACAACGGAACCAAAGCGCGATTCAGGAGACTACAGCGCCATCTCTTGACCATTGGTGTAGTAGAACCAAAAACCACATCTTTATTTTTCAATGTTACTTTTATGTTATTATTATAATAAAGTAACAGTTATAGTATATATATATTTATAATATTTATCCACATGTTTCTAGTTTGTATATTCGGAATACGTGTTTGAGTTTCATACAAGTGCAAATCACATATGTTCTAATAAATTATATTCAGTAGCGATTTTAATTGAATGTGTTGATTATTTATTTACTTTTTCAAATTAAAACTGAACTTTATTGACTGTGTCCTTTTCCAGACTTTTTATTAATTTATTGTAATTAATTATTTGCATGCAATTAAAAACTAATTTTAAACGATGCCAAAGAAGGATAACTTCTCACGCGCCTACATAAGTACACGCACCCATTTTTTCTTAATCTGTGAGTGTTTATTGCGTACTAGCGGTCGCCCGCGACTTCGTAAGCAGGGCTTGTTTACCGGTTAATTTTTAAACCTAAATCAGTGTCAAATACATTCTTCTTCTTCTTCATGTTCCTCTCCAATTACTGAAGGATTTCCTAGTCAAATCAAATACATTAGGAGCGTTTTATTTAGGTTTGACTCTACGTTAACCTTAAAAAAAAACAGTTTTCTTAAAAAGCGAAATCAAATAGGTTTTGAATCAATTTAGCGGTTTTTAAAGGGTTTCATTTCGCTCTTACTGACGACATCGATAATAAATGAATAACTTGACTAACTAGACGCTAGAAAACGTCAATAAATGCAGTAATCTATGAGCATTAAAAAGATGTGACTTGATTAGTTCAAATAAAACAAACTTCAAGCGATGCCGACGCGCGCACGTGTCGCTCTAGATTAAACCGGTTTATTAAGGTTTTAGGTTCCGCTTTCATTTCGGACGCGCTCCGAACGAAACCTTTACTAAAAACCGGTATTAACCTTTATTTACCGTAATTTTTGAAACCGGTTTCAAGCCCTGTTCGTAAGCGTGGAGTTAGTTAGAAATAAAGGTTCACTGCTCGTTCCCCGTAGGTGATAGCGTGATAATATGTAGCCTATATGTTGACTTCTTAATAATATTTATGCAAAGTTTGAAGTAAATCCATGCAGTACTTTTTGAGTTTATCCCGGACATACATACAGACGAACAGACAAACATTCTAAAAACTATATTTTTGGCTTCGATATCGATTGTAGATCACACCCTAAGTATTCTTTTAAAAATATATTCAATGTACAGTTTTGAATTTCCTACCATTTTTATTATATGTATAGATATTTCCGTGACAAAAATTAGTGGAGTCCAAGAAGTAAGAAAGGACTTTGCGTCCGAATGGAAACTAATTTCCACCTAAGGCAAGTGCCTTAAATCGAGTAGAGCTGGAAACTAGAAACGAGATGGCGAGCAGCGGGAAGCTAGTGTGTTATTACAATAGTTTTATCGTTGGGCTATAAACTAGTGTGCAAGTACGACAGGCGACTACTCGCGCCTCTCGCTCGCGGAGGCAGTTCTAAGACAAAAATGCACGCGCGCGCGTTTGACCGCTAAGGGAGCATCGCTAGTGGAGCGAGTTCTCGCCGGAAGTGTACGCAACCAGCGACCAACTATGAAAATACGTTTCTGTTTCGTTTAAACGGATTTTATCTATTGTACGTTTCTTGAGCGAGAAAATAGTCTATTGTTTTAAACTTTCATGGTCACTAACATTATGGCAATATGAGTTATTTACGGGATTGTTACCATGTACCTTGTTTTTAGCGAGTTTCCGATATTTCGGCACTGTTGCAAGGGCCATAATCCTGATGCAGTTACTCCGTGATCATGGCGCTATGTCAAGAAGCTACGCCATCGGTTCGTAAAACTACGGAGGGAGACCTTGCACTGAGAAGAACCGGCAAGAAACTCATCAAGGGATGTTTTTTTCTCTGTATACAGAGTATACAGAGTCGTCAAGTTGAAAAATGACTTCGGAGATACTTCTGAAGTCACCTTCCATTTCATCATTTAGAATATAGATATATAGTTACAATAAAATTTATAGTTAATTTTATATTTAGTATATAGGAAGAGGCATCAGATATGTACCGTATTTCTATTATGAAAAATGACTAATACGCTTTTTTTTTATCGTTTGCGGTGATGTCATAAGATGGCGTAGCTGTATCATTGTCCTCCTTTCTAATATATAATCTATATCTTTATGTCTATGCTAATTCTAATCCTATCGTAAAATGTCCGCCACAGATTCAAATCCCGATGAATTCTAGACACAATTCTATTTGATTAGAATTTTATATCCTTTATTCGTTGATTGGAGAGATGTCGGAGTGTCCACTCGTTTCTTAATTTGATTAAAAATTGATTAATGAAATTCTTTCATCGCTCCGTTTTAAATAATTAGGTATCGTTCTTAATTTGTCGCTTTTACATAAAAAAATAAATTGAAAGCTTTTGATTTTACCTCAGGACTAACCTGTATCTATTTATATGGATACTTAAATGTATCATTTCATCATCATCATCATCAACAGCCTATCTTAGTCCACTGCTGGACATAGGCCTCTCCAATTGCACGCCACTCAGATCGATCTTGGGCTACTCGCATCCAGCTCCTGCCAGCCACCTTGCGCAAATCGTCACTTCACCATTCCTGAGGACGTCCTACACTACGTTTGCCTAGACTCGGTCTCCACTCCAGAACTCGTCTACCCCAACGGTTATCGGTTCTTCGACAAATATGGCCAGCCCACTGCCTCTTCAACTTGCTAATCCGGTGGGCTATATCGATAACTCTGGTTCTCTGTCGGATTACCTTTGTATCATTTAAATACTGTTTATATGTACTGTTGTAGCATACATGCATGTACGAACAACATTGCACTAACGTGTGTATAGAAGATCACAAAATCTGTTATAAGTAACGCTTAGGTAGGTTAATATAATTATAGCTATTGATAAATTCCTCTACATAAAAATGGAATAAGAATAGGAAACGTGGACTAGTAATATAATCCAAGCTCGATTTTAAAGATCCATCTGTTTTTTTTTAACGAAGCCTAATAAAAATGATTAGTCAGTAATGGTGACGGGTTGGCTAAAAAAATGCAACGTTTAATTGAATTTAGCGACATCCATTTATTTATGTAAATTGCATCCATGGAAGAAGTTCAAAGTGTGGTAAATACTACAGTAAATTAAAAATGGTAATTTATTGTGGTTGAATTGTGTTTCATATAGTTGATTTTTAACTACAGTATTTTTAGAAAAATACTACGGTATTCTGTAGGAGGTATACCATAGGCGACTTTTTGCTGTCTCATTAAACAAAAAATACTATGGTATGTTACTATGGTAATATTACAGTAGTTATCATTTCCATATTTTAACTGTATTTTAGGTAATAATTTCGGAACACAAAAGATTAATGTTTCTGATTTAATGTGGTTAAAACCTCAGAATAAACGGGAAATATATTTAAAATGTAAAATGCTGAAAAATTAAAAATAAAATAAATAAAACTGTTAAAGTATTAAGATTTTCACGAAGACGAACTTGTTATTTGTTAAATTCTATTTTTTTATAAATACCATACTCACTCTGCAATTAGTGGAAAGCACAATGTCTAAGTTAGAGGTTTTTAGGTTTTACCTGCGTCTAAAAGTCTGGGTGTAATTTATTACCAAAGTATTTGTTTTATGAACCAAAAGCACTACTGTAGTAACTTTTCCTAGTAAATATCATACCATACTATGGTAAAAAAAATACTATCTTCAATTATATGAGACGAAATTTTACTCAGCTTCAGTACAGCTATAGTAAATTGCGCAACTACTGTAGTAGAATTATTACGATATTATTTTTTTTTGAAGCAGGTTTTTTTTAAGTCACTGCAGGAAAATAAAATATACCACGGCAATACTTTTCAGAAATAGGGCCCATATGTTTTTTAGTAAATTTTATTTTAATTGACAGAAAATGATGCGAAGAATGGTGCTTCGGAAGGCACGCTAAGCCGTTGGTCCCGGCATCTGCAGTCGTTAGCACCCGCCAATCCCACTGGGCCCGCGTGGTGGGTCATGACCCAATCTCCCTATTCCATCCGTAGGGAAGGCCTGTGCCCCAGCAGTGGGGACATTAATAGGCTGATGATGATGATGATTATGATGATGATGATGATTATGATGATGATGATGCGAAGAATTCAAAAAACGTACCTGTTTACACCTGGCAACCCTAAAGTTGTGTCTAATTGAGAATAAAATGAAATGCCAAGGAAACCAAATGAATGAGTTATACAAAAATCGATACTTAATTTATATTTTTCATTCATTGCCAGTGCAGATGAAAAATTCAAAAATAATTTTATTATATTTCTACTTAATAATTATATTTCTACATGTACTAGATTTATAATTTATGAGTTTTGAACTTATATAGTATTCGAGACGAAGCGTGCTGGTTCGCTAAATTTTATTTTTTGATTTTATTTTTTTTCAAAAATGTTCCTTATTTTAGAATTTGTTATGTTTCACAGGTGGCGGTCGAGAATATAAATCGGAACATCATGAGCAGCACGAGGAACATGGCAAAAAGGCATACGAGGTAAGAAGCATTTGAATTTACTTTCTCCTATTCTTTCCGACCTGTGTATTAGGTCATATTATGCGAAGATTGTAATTGCTCATAATTTAAAGGATACACCGATCCCTATATCATAAAATATATCTTGTTTAGAGCTTTCTTGCATCATAAATAAGCAGAGACATAATATAGCTACAGACAAATTGGCTGTAGCCAAATAATATTACTTACAGCCAAAACAAATTAGCAACAGCCAAACATATATTTGTTTCTTAGGTTTTCACGCACATCACTCATTAAATAAAACTAGTTTTTACGGGTTAATGCACGAAACTTTATTTATTTATTGACGTTTCGCAGCCTTTTCAGGTCTGCATCGTCAGAATAACGTTATTCTGACGATGCAGACCTGAAAAGGCTGCGAAACATTAACCCGTAAAAACTAGTTTTACCAAACATATATGTTATATCCATTATGTGTTCGTGGTTAAAAGTTAACAACTGTATTGTACAGCCAAAGACATTCAGTGGCAGCTAAATAACACTTTTTGTAACTTTTGTATTCATGTACTGAAGAAGGTGACCGTGTCTACTCATGGCAAAAGAAATAGGGTCTCCAATACAATGATAAAGATGTGGTACCTATTTATAGTAGCCATACACAATACGAGAAATCGTTACGATCAGACTGTACAGTTCGAACGGAACAGTTTATCGTACGTGGCGTACGTATAGGAAACTGTGCAGTTTCATAACATACACGCTACGATTTATCGGTACCGTTCGGACTGTACAGTCTAATCGTAACGATTTCTCGTAGTGTGTATGGCTACCATTAAACAGTAGTCTATATTGCTAGGATATCATTATTAGATTCTTAGTTAAAACGCACCTAAGTGTGTGCTCATTGGAAGATTAAGCGACCAGCCAACAGTAGATTTTACAATAATACACAAATGTTTACAAAGAAACAAACTATACATTTCCAAAAAAGAAATATCAACGGCTCTTCGCGGGATCCAACAAGCGCCACCAATCGTTGAAGTCAAAGCTCGACACAGAAAAACCCTGGTACAGTCATTATAAATACGACGTAAGTCATTTTGTGTATGTGGCTAAAAGTTGTGAACTTTAAAAGTTGTAAAAAAACTGTATTGATAGAATATATGTGTACTGAAAAAGAGTGGTTAGAACATACAAATCTATGTAGATTTCAAGTAAAACAAATCCTCTGCAATAATTTTACCTTTCTAAGTCTGAAAAAAACCTAAAAGTAGAACTTTTTATTAGCTGCAGTAAAATGACGTTTTGTGGGTTACCGCTTTTTGAAGAAAAATAAATAGACACAAACACAACGTAACAAAAATTTAACAATAAAGTTAACTAAAACAACTCGCAGTGGGCAAAGCAAAGTTATTCGTGCACTCAAAATAGAAGTTAGAAGCCGAATGAGCGAATGACAAATAAAATAAAATGGCGGAAAAGCGTCATCGTAGCACCGTAACTGAAAACCAGTACCGACTTAGATTTTATACAGCCTTTTATTTATATGAATAATAAATAGAATTAAGTATGATCATTATGAGGTACTGCTATCACTATGGAACGATTAGATTTTCTGTGAACCTAAGCACATCCCTATTGAAATTAGGCTGTCAACATTATTTTACGGAATGACATTTTGAAACGTCATTTTACTGCAGCTAATAAAAAGTCGAAGTATAGTTACGAAATTTTAGATGTTCAATTTATTCTATACTAGTAGTATTGAGTCTCTACAAATCCACGTAGTTCAAGTTAAGCAATTAACATCTTAAAATACACTAGTTATTTCTATATTATCATTAAAGAAAGTTTTACTATAGGAAACTTACTAAAATACTTATAATAACGGCAAAACCATATAACCCTTTTTTGTTATTGTTACTTAATAGTCTCGTATGTATTTCCGTCACTATTTAATAACCCTACTTTATTTTCGACCAAAATGATGTCATATAGATAAAACGGGTTCATTCCATTCTTCTCTGTCCCTAACACTTTCTATTTTAATATAACCAGTTTAACCAAACGAAAGAAATGTTTGAATGACATAGGCGGCGTCAATAATACAATATTGTGTTATGAAAACAATGAATTTTAGACATTAGAACAATACGATGGCCCAAAACAATGGTAGACTGATTTCAAACAAAGAATTGGCGAATTATCAACGATGGACAGACAGAATGTTGTTCAAAATAATGGATCATCAGGTCATTGATTGAAAACAAACAAACGAAAGAGGTAATTTTCAGTCTCTTGAAGCGAAATTTATTTAAATTACTTACGATATATTTTCGGAAGACCCAACTTTAAATTCGTAAACGGTCAACGAAGAAAAAAGGTTTTTGGATAGTTTTTTTTTTCATAAGTAAATAAATATTTCCAACACTCACACCAATTAGCCTAGCCTCCAAGTAAGCACTGTAAGGCTTGTGTTATGGGATGCTAGAGTAACGGACAGAATACATATGCTGTACATATATAAGTATATTTATATTGAGGAGCTCGATGGCGCAAGTGGTTAGCGCGTTCGGCTGCGATCGTTGAAGCTAAGCAACTTTCGCAGTGGTCGGTCATTGGATGGGTGACCAAAAATTTATTATCTCGAGCTCCTCCGTGCTTCGGAAGGCACGTTAAGCCTTCCCGGTCCCGGTTGCATCTGCAGTCGTTAGCACCCACCAATCCTCACTGGGCCCGCGCGGTGGGTCATGGCCCAATCTCCCTATTCCATCCATAGGGAAGGCCTGTGCACCAGCAATGGGGACATTAATAGGCTGATGATGATATAGAAATACATATTTAACATCGATGACTGGAGTACAAATACTCGTATTCATCACACAAACATCTGCCCCCACCGGGATGCGAACCCGGGATCTCTCGAGTCGGCGACACCATGAAACCCGGCGTACAAACCGCTCAGCCACGGAGGTCGTCATCAACTGGTGGGGTTAACCTCTAATTGTTTCTGGGCTTTTGAATTTATTTTACGATGTGTGTTTGGATATGTCTAAGGCTAAGTTATACTACCCACCCATAAGAATACATAATCAGAGCCTCACTTAGTGCTGAAAGCTTACCTAATAAGCTTCTTAAAACAATGAAAATGAAAAGTTAAAAAATTCTTTAATGCTGACAAGTTCCATATAAAAATGTTGTTGAGTATTCCCTTTTAAGTATTATACTTGTATTAGGGGATACTCGCTCTTTCGTCAATTTTTACATTGAACTTTACTATAACAAATAGTTGTACTGTAACTACTGTAAAACATGGAACAGAGAAGTATTTAATTTATGTTTTTATTTATTTTTAAGCATTTAACTGCTAGATGTTTAAATCTAAAGAAAAGTTTACTAGAAAAAAATCCACGCGGACCAGGCAGCGGACGGGACTCGAACCCGCACCCTTCGCAATCCGGGCGAATGCACTGACCATTATGCTACCACGGCCCTATTCGCCGCGTCGAAATTTTTCTAGCCTTAAGCTGCAAGGCAACGCCATCTCTTCGCATTGTAGGTAACCCACAATGTCAAATGAATACGATTTCAAGTATTAAACATTTGAAAGAAGAAATAGCAATTATAGATATGTTTTTATTTATGTTTAAGCATTTAACTGCTAGATGTTTAAATCTAAAGAAAAGTTTACTAGAAAAAAAATAGGGCCGTGATAGCATAATGGTCAGTGCATTCGCCCGGATTGCGAAGGGTGCGGGTTCGAGTCCCGTCCGCTGCCTGGTCCGCGTGGATTTTTTTTCTAGTAAACTTTTCTTTAGTATTTAATTTTTCAGTCCTTTTCCGCAACTAAAAGAAATCCTAAGATGGTGGTAGGAAAAATAATATTGTATCATTCGATAGAGTTATCTTCTATCTACTTCTAATTTGATGGCACGACGCACCTAGGTGTAGAACCGCCATCCGTCCGGGTTTACCCGGATTTGTCCTAGTTTACGGGGCGTCCGGGGAGCGTCCGGGCGGGGTTTATTTGTAGTCCGGGTTTAAAAATTTACGGCAATGCATGAGTGGCCCTTAATGCTGCAAGTGTCCATGGGCAGCAGTGACCACTTATTATGAGGTAGACCGGTAGCTCTTTTGGCTAGATCAACATAAAAAAAGTTGATTTGTGATATTTTTAACTGCTTTTTATTGGTATGTCCGGGTTCTGGGCTCCAAAATCCGGGGTTATCACGCGTCTTATCCTGTTTGCCACATTTTAGAGATGGCAGCCCTACCTAGGTGACATACTCACATAGCTCCTACTTGCCGTGTCGTTATAGGCCAGCCCCTCTAGCATGACCACCGAAACCGGAAACGATAAAGCTTTTTATCGAGTCTCAACTGTCAAACTGACAATTAATGTCGATATATCACTTTGTCATGCTAGAGGGGCAGGTACTTTTTATAATTAAATAGGCAAATTATTTCGTACCACTTGATATTAAAAGAGGAGCTCGATGGCGCAAGTGGTTAGCGCGTTCGGCTGCGATCGTTGAAGTTAAGCAACTTTCGCGGTGGTCGGTCATTGGATGGGTGACCAAAAATTTACTTAAGCCTTTGGTCCCGGCTGCATCTGCAGTCGTTAGCACCCACCAATCCGCACTGGGCCCGCGTGGTGGGTCATGGCCAAATCTCCCTATTCCATCCATAGGGAAGGCCTGTGCCCCAGCAGTGGGGACATTAATAGGCTGGTGACGATGATATTAAAAGGCAGCGGAGTCTAGACAGTGATGATCTTTAATAGCGTCATCAGAATTAATCTGGGAAAATCCAAACCAGTTTATCAGACTGCCTTAACAGGCTTTTCCTTAGTGATTTTATGAAGGAATACCTCATTATCATCAATCATCATCATCAACAGCCTATCTTAGTCCACTGCTGGACATAGGCCTCTCTAAATGCACGCCACTCAGATCGATCTTGGGCTACTCGCATCCAGCTCCTGCCAGGCACCTTGCGCAAATCGTCACTCCATCGCG